GAGGACTTTTGCATTGCAGGTCCACAGGTCTGGAAACACAACACATGCACCAGAGTGGAAGATTAACTTCACCCACCAGACACAGAGACTGCTGAAGGAGCCGTTCCGAATGATTTATAAATGTACATACATATAAAAGTTTTCCAAGCTTGTTTCCACCATGGAATAAATATAAAAAAGAGCATTGCAACTTTTTTATCTCATAATTCTTGCGCACAGTTGCAAGTTTATATACATTCAAATCTTTTTCTCTGAATTCCAAATTTACATTTTGCAATTTTGACTTTCCTCGGAATTCGGAGTTTACATCTCACTATTTTGACTTTTTTTCTCCGAATTTTAAGTTTAAATCTTGCTATTTTGACTTTTTTCTCTGAATTCTGAGATTATATCTCGCTGTGTTTATTTATTTATTTTTTTTGTGGAATTCTCACTTTACATCTCTCAATTTTGACTTTTTCCTTAGAATTCCGTTTAAATTTCATAATTTTTTACTTTTTCCTCTGAATTTTGAGAAAAAAAGTCACAATTGCGAGAAACAAACTCAGAATTCAAGTTTACATCTCGTAATTTTAACTTTTTTCTTGGAATTGTGAGTTTACATCTCACAATTTTGCCTTTTTTTCCTCTGAATTCTGAGTTTAAATCTCATAATTTTTTACTTTTTCCTCTGAATTCTGAGTTTACACATGGGTCGCGGAAGCAGGGGGGGGCCTACTTTTGAGGTCTGATACAAATATGACATAGACTACATAATTACATATAGGCTCATATGTACTGTATGCACGAGAAATCATTAAAAGATCGTGATCTCAATTCAAACACATGCAATCTTCCTAAATGACAATTCGGCTATGTCTCTTAAACCTTTGAAATCACATCACATCGGAATATTTGACCCTGCTTTCACACAGCCGCCGATCCAGAGACAGCAGCAGCATCATGTAAGCTTTATGTTTGAAACAGCTTCACAAACAGTCTACACAGTTGGCTACATTTCTGAATCGCAAACATGAAATAATAATGAAAGTATTGGGATCAAATGTTATAGTCCGGATATTGACTCTGATGTTGCGGCAGCCGCGATCAAAATGAGTAATTGAGCTTTGGAACTAATGTTACACTTCAAATATTATTATTTGGTGGCGACCAGTAACTGTTCAAATGTATTTGATGTCCGAATCATTCATTCAAGAGGTTCGTTCAAAAACTTTGGACGAAACAAGTCTTCGTTTATTTCAAATGTTTTTTTACATAATGATTTTATTTAAATTAATATTTTTAGATAGACTCTTTATAACATTTTAGACATTTATAAATAGACTCATTTATAACATTAAATAAAACTCAAGTGAATTAGCCTACATATTATTTTGTTTGGTTGTCTAATGTTTTGTTTTCAGAATCGAAGCCACCCCCAATTCTTTGAGTTCGTTCCCGCAATTTTGACTTTATTTTTTAGTTCTGAGTTTACATTATAGTTTTTGACTTTTTCCTCTGAATTCTGAGTTTACGTCTTGCAATTTTGACATCTCGTAATTTTGACTTCTTTTTAGAATTCTAAGTTTACGTCTCGCATTTTATTTTTATTTTTTTCGGAATTCTAAGCTTATATCTCACAATTCTGGTGTTTTCCTCCATATTGCAAGAAAAAAAGTCTGAATAATGAGATATAAACTCAGAATAGGAAAAAATTCAGAGTTGTGAGATAAAAAGTCGCCTTTTAAAAAAAGAAAATTTTTTTATTCTGTGACAGAAATTGGTGGAAATAATCCCTTTTTTTAAACTAGATGTGCGGTTAGTTTGTTGTAGTGCAACTCTGTAGTGCTCACAGAAATGTACACCAAGCTTGTCGCAGTGCATTCTGGGATTGGTTTATCTGTGGATGCATGTGGTGCTTCTGCTTTTTAATTTGTCTAGGCCACGTCATTTTGCTGCCTACCGTTTGGAAACAGCCATTGCATCTGGAGCTTGTCTTTGAGACCTTAAAATGTAGTCTTGTTATGGTTTGGAATAGTTTGACATTGTCTGGTTTCTGAACTCTCAACCTCTGGTAAGTCACTCCAATCTCATCTGTGAAAATTGTTGTTTTCGTGACTGAGAAATGCTGTTATGTGCAAATTAGCAGTGAATGATTGATTGCTGTGATTAGCGCTTCTCCAGGGATTTCTCCACACCCCCACCGGTTATCTGACTCCGAGTATTTCGCCTTCCTTAAAAACAGTGTGATGTCCTGAAGGAATCTGATCTTTTCTTTCACAAATCCCCTGAACGCTGGTTTAGGTTGTTGAGTTGCTGTTTTTGGCGGTTTCATTTTGTTCTTTGGCTATCAGTACATGCAAATCCGTCTTGTGTTATTTAGTGAGGACTTTTTCTTCAGTGTGCCCATGCTGTTAAACCAGTTCATTTTTCCTGGAGGTTTTCAGATGTCGTTTCTGCAAATGTGTTCAATGATTTGATTATTACAGACACTGAGTCATTGATCATTTGTTCGATCATAAAGGTCAAAAAATGTCCAGTAGCATTAAGGCATTTAAGTAAACTTACTGTACCACATCTAATTAGTTTGTTAAGAAAAAGATAATGTGGAACATTAAATAAAGATGACTGTGTGTGAACAGATCCCTGATGT